TGATCGTCTCCCCTTATGGCTTCTCCCGCACATCCGGTGATTCCCACTCCCGCCGAGGGGAGTTTCCCCGTCCCCGCCCGGCTTCCCTCTCTGGAGGCAGGGGGTGCGCGGCCGGGGTGCAGGGAGACCAGGTTTCGTGTGGAAGAGCAGGTATTTGCGGGCCTGCCCGGAGTCGTGCTTTCTGAGCAAGGCCTAATCCCCGCCAGGATGTAACGATCTCTCCTCGGTGTCATATGCAGGCAGCGGGAAGGTGTCAGAGTGTATTCAGTGCTTTATTAAGCCGTGCAGCATCACAGGGACCCTCCTGAAGGGGGAGGCTGGGGAGACGGGGAAAGCTCCAGATCTGCTCGTCACTCTCATAGCCGAAAGTGTGGGCTTCGGAGAGTCGGATACGTGCAACCCCCCTCTGTCTGTCGTCGAGCAACGAACCGCACAGGTTCGCAGCTGATGTGTTGTCAAGTGCAAAGCCAGTTTGCCCATGGAGAGATTTCCGTCCTGGGGAACCTGTGTCCCCTTAGCTGCCCCTTGAGGTGTCACTTTGGGGATGGAGCACTGCTGTTCCCCCTCCCCTCCATGCTTTGACCTTCAGGATGCCATTAAGTACTAAAACCACAATACTTGGCAAGAACGAGATCCCCAACTCGGGAGTGAGTTCCCCTACAGTTCACAACTGTGACTTTGAGTGCTCTCTGTTGACATTTTTAGTAGGACTTCTGTGGCCTTTTTAAGTGTTTATTAAAATATTCTGCATGTATGCTGTGATGTGGCTTGTAATTAAAATGGTGTATAACGGCAAAGGTTTCTGGTCTACATAGGTTTTACAAGGCTTCCAAATATAGAGAGGAATACAGACTGCCTTTGCTGTGCTGGTACTAATTGCAGCCCCCTGACAGGAATGTAAATGCAGTTCCTTAGCACATTCTTATCTCAGCATGTGTGGGATTTACATATATAACTCCTATTAATGCTAATGGAAGCTATATACATAATTCTCTGCATAGGGCTGACACTATATTTTTGTCTGAACCTGATGCAACTGGAGCAAGCCATCTTCTATTAGTGGAAAGATCTGTAGTTTCTTACCGGAAGCTTTCTTAACGTTTTGGTTCACTTAAAACGTAGGGATGAAATGCAAGTAAAGGAAGCAATACAAAACTTTTTATTATGACATTGGCATGGAAGGTTCATAACATTCATGTAAAAAGTGTTGTGCTATCCAGAGGACTGTCAGTGAACCTGATCCTGTTTCCCTTAAAGTTTCTTTTTGTTGGTTTTTTTTTAAATTTCATTAAATCAGAAATCAGGATTGGTGATTCCCGATTAACTCGTTAATTTAGAAGCAATCAGCTTTTAGTGTTTAGATGTGTTTAAAGGTTTATTTGGAGTATTACTACTTAGAAAATAGAGTATCTTTTTTATTTAGAGCTATAGACAGGTCATCATTATGAATCTCTGACAAAAGAGTCATGTTGCGCATTGCGGTGCTCCTGAAGACAGAAGTATCCTGAAAGGGTATCATGGTTGATATCTTTGCCTATAATTAGGAGAAGTTTGCTTTCGCTGGTTAGCAGAGTCCCTCGACCTTCTCTTAGTAATATCTGTGTCTCTTCTTGTTTCTAAAGCTTTTTCTTCTTTTTTTTTTAAATTTGTGTCTGGATGGGAAATGGCAGCTTCTCCTTTCAGACATGATGACACCCTGCTGTGGCTACACTCAGCTTGTCACCTCAAAATTTAATTACAGTAATGCCTACTTTCAGGGCAGAGGTTCGGGGCTTACCATAAGCCGATATGAATTGTCAGAAATCTACTGAGTTGAGAATTTACATCATCTGAAGCTGTCCTAGCCCTCCCTCCCATTCATTGTTGCATGTTTACATTTATTCTGCGCACACGAACAAGCGCAACTCACGTTGTACAAAGTTGAAAACAGGCATTTTTAAACAGGACTGTATTTAGACTGTAGACAGGATCCTTAAATTCTCCTCCTCCTCTCTGCTGCGCTGTGGTAGTTGTTGTTAGACCAGACTGTTGAATGACTGCCCCATTAATTTAAAAGAAACTAAGGGAAACGTGATAGGATGTCCATGGTGGGAACCATCTTCTGAAGAAGTTGTTATTTTTTAAGGCTCATTAGAGATAGAGTTTGCGGATACACTAGCTGTTTTACAGGTTGTCTCTGTTTTCATAGGATTTTAGTCTTATCATTTTTTTCCTTATGTTTTGGCTAAGGTTGGATTTTTTATCATTCAACTGGATAGTTAAGTTATTGTTTAAGTTATTGTTGTGCATACGCTAGAAGACTCAGATCTGACGAGCACAGCTTATATGCTGAAGAAAATGTCAAAACCATAGAGACAGTTAGAGATAACAGAAGAATAAGATTTTGATGGCTCATTTATAACGTTGGGAAAAAGAGTTCAGTATCAGTGTATCATTATGGAGAATGCACCGTGCTGCTGTAGTGTAAATCCTTTACAATGGAGGAATAAAGGTTTTATATTTGTATATCACTGACTGCAAGAGAAATGGATCTGTTCCTTTCAACCTGAGAAATTTAAAGTTTTGGATAGGGTGTGAAAAATGTAAATGTTACTCAGAGATTTAGTAGCAAGAAGTGATATATAAACTTGCATTGCTGCACAGAAATAACATTTTGTAAACATAAATCCTGAATATAAAAACCTGAGAGACAGTGAAAGCAAACTTTACATTGGTAAGTATTTATCAGAAAAAATTAATCCGAGTAGGCTGGACTGGCAGTATAGACTTGTAAAAACAGTCACAGTGACTTTCTCTTTGCATTTGGAAGAATTGAAAAGACCTATTGCTTATTTAATGAATGATTTCCAAAGGAGCTTCACTAAGTTAGTTTCTCTATGGAACAGTTACTGTGTCTCAGTATCCTTATGAACAAACATTGAAATTGCATGCTATTAGGAATAAAATACATAATCCAGATTTGAATCCCAGATGGAGATGAGAACCTTTTGCTTTTGTACATTCTGTGAAACCCATTCTGTAACCTCAGAGTACCATTAAAAAATGGAAGGAACCCAATCACAGTGATTAAAACCCCAGTACCTAATTAAAATACTGTACCTGGTTGACTCATCTTTGTGCTGGCTGTCTAAACCTGACCTTGAAGTGTGATGGGGAAAAAATCACGTGGGAAGGCGTATGTTAGCCAGAAAGAACAAGGAAATGAATTAACTGAATATTGTTTAATGAAAAATTTTCTTAACTCTTTTCAGGGAAGACCTATAATTTGCATAGAACCTAGACACTGCACTTCCCAGAGCATTCAGTAGGCTAATTTAACATCATAGGCTGATTTATAAGAAAAATACATTTTTTCTTTTTAAAGAATCATCTTAAGGTTTAAACATGAATGCTATTCACACTGGATTTTATGATAAATTTTTCATAAATGTCGTCTTCTGGTTTAGTTAGTGAAAGCAAAAATGTTGGCAAATTTCACATTTCAACTAAAAAGTAGTAAAGATGTCAAGGAGTGAGTTTCCTGTTAATTGGGCATTTCCACCCCTGTCATTGTATGAGAGATGTAACTTTAGACTTTGTGTTCAGGTCTGAATGCCACTGTGTCCACGGAAGTAGAATTTGGAGTATGCACAGTTACATGTGGTAAGTAGCAAAGCAGATGAATAAAACATATTGTCATTTGTTTTGGGGAAAAAAAAAAGTGCTAACTGTAGCAATTTAGCAGTTGTAATTTGCTTGCCCTCGTTCACCTCTCATTGATTTCAATTGCCAATAACTATAATTAACAAAAACAAGCAGCCTGATTGTCATTAGGAGTTTAGGTCAGATCTGTTGTTTTATTAATTTCACAGCCTGCAAGCTCCTATTTTAAACCAGTTCCCTACGTTTATTGGCACATGAGCTGCCTTCCCCAAAGTAACAATTTTCGCTATTTGTGAACATCTGTGAGATGTTCAGAAGATGAAAGATCTTCTGATGCTTCTCACAGATGTCTTCCCACATACAATATTGCCAAAAAAATTGCTTGCCTGCAGTAGCCTGTTCTGTATTCCACATTTATACAATTTATAAATTGTGCAACGGAGAGGAGAGGTATGATTCTGGAGTAGGAGGGGAGAGAGGAAGAATGAGATGAGCCTTAAGAAGACATCTCTGCATTTGGGGTGGTGATAGAAACTGCTGTGAGGTGGTATTTATATTGCTTAGGAAGCAGTCTTGAATCAGAAATGCTATTAATTTTTTGCTGAACAAAGGCAGCTTCTCGTAAGACCACAGAAAAAAGAGAGACGAGTTTTTGCCCCTATCAGTCTGATGTTTTCTAGAGTATGCCTTTTTATTTTTTTCAGCCACTTTTTCATATTTCCAATGACAGAGCTTCCTTGATTCCCTCCTATTTCACATCTTAGGACATTATGGGTTTAGGAGATTTTTTTTTGCTGCTACATACTTTAATATTTCTCTTTCTTCACTTCATAATTTCAAATCTGCTTCTATGTTCCTTCTGTCGATGCCGTATATGTATCCCCATACTCTTAATAACTTCACTTGCTCTGATGCACACATCTTTTGGATACTAAGAAACTGTTCCTTATGTCCCATCCCTCTAGCAGATGTCTCAAATGTTCCGTATTTCCAGGGAATTTCACTAGATTTTGTCTCCATTTTATCTTTGGTCCTTCAGAATTAATGCTGTGGTGGGTTAACCTTGGCTGGCCACCAGGTGCCCACCAAGCCGCTCTACCATTCCCCTCCTCAGCGGGACAGGGGGAGAAAATAAGATTAAAAACTCATGGGTCGAGATAAAGGCCGTTTAATAAAGAAAAGCAAAGGCCGTGCGCAGAAGCAAAGGAAACAAACAAACAAACAAAATTATTCTCTACTTCCCATCAGCAGGTGATGTCCAGCCACTTTCTGGGACCTCGGTATGCATAGCGGTTGCTTCAGGAGACAAACACCTTAATAAAAATGCCCCCCCTCCCCCTCCTTTCTCTTAGCTTTTATTGCTGAGCACAATGTCATATGGTGTGGAATATCCCTTTGGTCAGTTGGGGTCAGCTGTGTCCCCCTCCTGCCTCTTGCCCACCCCCAGCCTACTGGCATTTGGGGGGTGTGGGGTGTGAAGAGACAGCCGTGATGCTGTGGGAGCACAGCTCTATGAAGGCTGCTATGGGGAAAGTTAGTTCCATCCCAGCCAGACCCAATACAAATGTTTAACCTCTTTAATACTGAAAATTATATAGTCTTACTGAAGAATCAGGAAAGGGAAGCTCTAACAAAAAAGAAAAAGGCATCATCTCATATCTGGCATCATCTCATATCTGGAGTTCAGATCATGTTTGTAGCCTTCCTTCTAATCTAGGCTGTTCAACGCGTGGCATGTTTGTCTGTTGACAGGCTGAAAGGTAGCTTCTTGGTTCTTCCAATAAAGCTGTAAGGTCTTTGTCTCCTTCATATTCCTTCTTACTCCCTAGATTCATCTATCTAGCCCTTTATATTTCTTGCTTTCTGAACTGATCCATTTTCTTTATTTTTTCCCTGTAATGCTGTGGCTTAGATCCACGGCTCCTCTATTCATAGTCCAGGTTTACAGAAGCATTAGAGCATAATTAAAGCATATGCTAATGATGTCTTGTCATACCTGCCTCAAATTTGCCTTAGTCTCTTTGTGGTCTAATTGGTTTGGCCACTCTTGCCTCTAAATTTCTCTCATAACTGCTGTTTTTGTATTGCCAAGTATTCAGTTCTTTGTGGATCATCTCTCTTCACCCCCTCCCTCCACCAGTCTATTGATTTACATTTCTCTAGGGTGCATTTCATTTGGGTAATTTATTTTACTGCATTGTGGCCAGTTTTCTGTTAGGTTAACTTGTATGACTTGTTGAAGTTAAGACTTCATTTGTTAGAGCATCTCAGTAGATTAATTTCATCAGCATTGGCAGCTACTAAGAGGAGGTAGTGAAAGGAAACATGGGAATGAAAGAAAAAGCTGTCCAAAAGGAAGAGGCAGAGGAGTACCAAAAGAACTTGCAGATCTAATTAAAAGAGCTTTTTTCATCAACTTTGAGTGTGATATACTTCCCAAATGTTAATATTCCCATAGGTAAGACACAGTGAGATTTTTCCTGATGAATGTGGCTAAGTTAGCCCAGCACCCAGATTTTATCAAGCTGGCCTTTTGGGTTTTCATAGGTTTCATGTCTTTTTTGTTAGCTAAAAAACCTACATGGCACTGAAGAAAGAGGAATGCCTTTAATAAAAGTGTCAGTTCCCTGCCATTTACACCTCTGTCTCTGAGGTGATTAGACATGAGATAAGGCATTCTCTGGAGTGGAGAACGATCCTCGGTGTTGTCTCCCTCTGTCACTTGAAGTACTGTTTCACGAGTTATGTGACATCTCTGAAACATTCTGAAGTTCATTGGTTTATATAATACACGTTTAAGGAAGGCAGATGCATCATAAATGCAATACTCAAACCAATTTCCTATGTATTATTCTACTGCAAGGGGGGTTTAACTCTCCTCTTTCCATGCCTATTAGTAAACAAAATGCTTCTGGAAAAATGGCAAAACCTTCAGTGTTTACTGGGCCTAAACATATTATTCCTGCCTACCCCACAAGCTATGTCATTCCAATGAACTGTGTACACACTGTTTGGCAAAAACAATTATAGCACTTGTTTTGAATTTGTTCGTAATTGTTAAATTGAGGATGATCCCATTGAAATCCTGATAGTGAGAGTGAACATTTTTTTTGCTTCCTGGAACATTGTGTGGGAATTTTCCTTATCTTGACACATTTGTGATAGGTTATCTCCTGTTCTTGTCTTCAGTAGGACCCTCCATGTTGCAGGTGGAGTCCTGGTGGTCAAGACTTGATTTCACCTGTTTCTCATGAGAAGCCCTATGTTACTGACCACCAGCCCCCGTGCTCTGAGAGGCTTCATTTTGGAGTCTGTTAGTGGTATTCCTGTATCGCTCATTGTTGGTCACTCTTAGGTAACTTCAGACTCCCCAGTCCCAGTGCCAGGAGGTTTTTAGTGCCTTCAGTTTCTGTTGACCTTGGTGGGAGTTGAAGACACTCAGACACTCACAAGACTGGAGGCAGACCGAGTTTGCAGTCTGTACAGGATTCTCTGTGCCATCTGATTTGAGCATTTAAAGGCCAGGAGCCTGAATGCTTTGATATTTAAAGTGAATTTAACTGTTTTGTAGAACATATATTAGTTTCATTTCAAATTCTTTTTCTGTAAGAAAAGTTTTGAATTCATTTTGAATTCTTTTTGTGACACATGATTCTAAGAATCTGGCTCCTTCGGTGTAGAGTCTGACAGAAGTAGATGTCTTGAAATCTTAGATACCAACATGGGATAGCTTTAGCAGGCACTCTGAGAAGATCTGTTTTGCCTGGTATTTGGTAGATATATCATACTAACATCCAGGATAAAGAAAGAGAAAGCAAAAACAGAGTTTGAAGGAAATGAAGAAATGTGGAGTGAAAGATTTTTTTTTCCCCCAAAGGGATTGGCATTCGAGAAGTTTTGTTAACCAGTGGATGCCCTGGGACTGAAGCAAAATGTATTGTCCGTGTGGAGGAATGCCGGGGGCCAGTAGACTGTGGATGTAAGTGGAACACTGTGATACAGTCATCTAGAGCAAATAAGTTGATTCAAAGGAAACACTCTTATTCTCTGTTAGTGTGGTGGAAGTGGAATGAAGTGATTGCATTCCACCCTCCAACTACCCTGTTAAGCAATCCAGTAATGTTTCAGATCTCATTTCTGTACTGATGTGCCCTTGATTTCAAGTCCCTGTAAAATACCATTTTTCTGCTATGTGCTTCGTTCCAGACATGAGACCAAGCAAAAAGTATTTGAAGTAATTTTAAGGGAAAGGATAATTTCCAAATAACATTCTGTAGTTTGAAGAGTTATGAACTTTATGATCTATACAGAGATGTTTCATATAGCTGATGATGTACTTATTAAAAATTCCTCCTATAGGGGGAATACCAATTTCTGAGGGCCTTGCCTGCGTGAAGATGCCTTGTATTTATATACCTCCTGAAAATCGATTTAAATATGTTTGGAAGATGTTAATTCCAAACAAGGTGAGTAATTGAACCCCACTTTGTGCAGAAAAATTGCATGCTGCATGTGTTTACCACATGCTCCATCTGAATCGTACAGACTTCTGGGCAGATTATTTCCTTTGCTGTCATAACGCAAATAAGCCCTGATTTCTCACTGGCGAGTTGGTAATACAAGGACTCGCATGGCTTTGCTCCTTTAAGCAGCTTCGATTTCCTGTTTATGTGAGGGAAACAGTAGTTTTAGAGAGTAATGTTTACTGTTATTTCAGAAAAATGGGGCATAGTGGCTGGTGAGTGCATACATGTCCGCAAGTCACAACCACGTTGCCCTTCCCAGTTGTTCAAGTAGGAGGTGCTGAAGAGATGGGAGGAATTTTCCCAGGGGCCAAGAGGTCCTGACAGGTTGAAAACTGTTGGAGTAGAATAAGCACTTGTCTGTGCATCTGACACAATGCAACTCGTCTTTGCAGATCTATTTGAAAAAATGCAACCCACTTTTTTTTTCTTTTCTTTTATATATGGCTAGACAGCACACATTCTTCCCAATGATTCAGCTATTATGAAAGTTTGCAGAGATACCCATTCGGTTACTTTCCAGTGTGAAACTCAAGAAAACGGAAATATAATTGCCTCTGTAAAATACACAGTCTACGCAACAACTGGTGAGCTCATAGAGACGCTTACAGTCTTCTAGTGATATGGCCTTGTGTTTTTTATGTAGTACTCAATCTTCGTAAGATTGCATGTCACCAGTAGTATATAGGCAGAGGCTTGTGCACAGTGGTAATGACTGTCATGAAATGCAGGCCAATAAAAGAGACATATAAAAGGAAATGACAGAATGAGAATGAAGAGGTTCCTTGTGGTAGGAATGAGTATTTTCTTTATCCTTTGTAAAAATTCAAGCTAAAACAAGGAGGTTTTCCTATTACCTGCTTATTTTTTACTGCGCCCAGGTTGGTTAACATAGACTTCTTTCTGCCTCACTAAGCCACATAGCACCATCAGCATGGGTTCTGCAGTTAAATTTCCTTTCCACTTCAGTACTGAAGCAGGAAAACAACCTTTGGGGTTTTTCTTTTAGCAGCCATCTGGGATTTGCTCATACACAATGGATTTAGGAAAGTTTAACATTAAAAAGAATACATCATAAAACGGGTTCCCCAGTACTATCTTTCTCACCTCCTCTGTTAATGGGAGTTTTGCTGACTTTATCAGGAAAGGTAGCAGTGTGCTGATTTTCTCAAACCATGAGAACAGCCGTGCGGAAACTCCATCTTTCCTAATCAGAGAAAGGGTGAAAGTGCCTTGCTTATCAAATTTAAAGTTTTTCCTGAAAAAATGTAGATTCAGGTCTTATGCAAAATTATGGCAGACTAGAAAGAAAGCAATCCTTGGAGATACCCCTCCCCATGTTTCTCCCCTCCATATTGTTTACCTAGGTAAAACTGGCCTGGGAATCCTGCTTTTTTTCCTCTCTCTTCAGTAAGATAGACTATTTCCTCTATCTCTATTGAGGTCCTTTCTGCCATTGTACAGTAACATGGAATTTGTTTATTCATTTTCTAAATCCATCTGGCAGTCACAAAACACCCAAAGCTTTTTTTTTTTTTCCCCTTCTCCCACTATTCAGTCTCTACATTCCTTTTTGTACAGAGGAAGCTTCCTTTTTGAGACCTGAATTAGCAAAGCACATAATCTGTTTTAGGCTTAAGCATGCAAATGGTCCCATTGACTTGAGTCGGTGAGTCATCAATAGGACGACTCACACACTTGTGTTTAAGCTGTGACTGAGTAGTCTTGGTGAAAAGTGGTCTGGTGAAACCCGCCCAACAGGCATACCCACTGGGAACTTCTTACAAGGATTGAGATTTATTGGTTCAGAAAATATTTACGACTATACAGAAATCTGAGGAAGACAAGCTCTAAGGTTTATTAAGTAGCTTAAAAGGAATGAGGGGTTCTGCTTAGTGCCAGAGCAGCATCCTTTGGCTTGGTACAGAGGTGTGTAGATGCCCAAAGGAGTTTCTGGGCTTTGCTTCCCCAGGAGTGACATTGTTTCGACTTTACAAATTAGTAGCTGTTAATTAGGTACATGGAAGAAGTTACCAGCTGAAGTTTTGATTGAGAATGTACCAGGACTTTCATCATACAGATCTAGTTTTGCTCTCTGTGGATGGTCAGAAATCTAGCCAGATCAGAAGATGGCATTTACTTTTCCAACAGGATCAGGAGAAAATGAGAAAGATCCTTCCAACAGCATCAATGGATGCGGCAAGACTCCTTGTGTTTGGATGTGGATTTCCTTAGCTGCTGCCTTGTATTTTGCAGAGCCGCTCTGTTCTCTGGGAGCATGTCTTGCTGTGTTGTTCAGACTTTGGAAGGGGGTAGTGTTTCTGCCCACGGTACAATGCTGCCTTTCCCAGTTGCTCGTTAAAAGACTTTTTGAAATGAGGGTTGGGGAATTTGCGACTTAGGTTTATCAACCCTGTCAAGCAAGATGGTTTCTCTACCTAGTCCAGAAAATCTAAGTCTTTCTGTTGAGTGAACATCTTCTTCTTTGCCATTTATCTATCTGGTCTCCAAGCTGAAATGTAAAGAAGGGCAGAATCACAAAATCAGTATCAGAAATAGGACAAAAATCTCCGTTTTCAGGTAATCTACAGGACTGAACTGGATTTTCTTCCAGTACCCAAAACTGGCTGCAGAGATTTCTAGTCAGTGTGAGTTGGGTGGGTGTGGTGGGCTGACCCTGGCTGGCTGCCAGCCCCACCCGTTGGAGCCGGCTGGAACCAGCCCTGTCCGGCACTGGGCAGCCCCGGCTTCTCCTCACAGAGGCCACCCTGTCAGCCCCTCACTGCCTGGGCACCGGCGGCTGGTACAGCAGGCCAAACTGTCTGTGGGGAGAGGGTCTGGTATGGATTTCGGGAGGTGTATTTGAACCAGCTGAAAGGGCAAATCAGTTTTAGTCAGGAAAAGAGCGGGTTCTCTCTTTTACCTCCTAAATTACTTTTTTTTTTTAATCCAACTGAGGCGATTCTGACCATCTCTCTGCCTCAAGTTAATAAGCTTAAGTTTGTATATTTTGTCTTTCTCATCACCTAGATCACTCCTTTCACTATTCCACAGAGATACATTTCTTCATGCCAGAGCTACAGGATGGGGCAGGGGAAGTGGAAATGTGTTTGCTCCGTGGCTGGCCTTTCTTCTTGGCACTTTCCTAGAGAGAAAGCCTTGAAGTCATCAACAGAGCTAAAAATTATCAATGCAGCTGATAAGGGGCGAATGTGTTTGCCTTTGTCTCATCCTTCCTCCTCTTTCCAGCGCTCTGATGTTTTACTCATGTGAACAGCAGTGGCTGGATTCAGCAACACCGTCTGCAAGCCTGGCCCCAAGGCCACCACTTGAAAATACATAGCGTGACAACTTTCTGCTTCAGATTTTGAGGCGTGTGAGGTGGGAGGAAGGGCAGACGTTGCAAAAGGGCAGGTAAAACCTCACAGGAGTTTGTGTGTATTTGCCATGTGGCAAAACTCCGTATGAGTTAATTTTAAATCTATGCACGGAGAAATTCCATGTGTCCTTTACCAGTGATCAGTGCGCTTCTCAGTGACCTTTTGATGCACAGTCATAATGACCTTTTTACATAAATGAGTGATCTTTAGTAATTTGGCTCTTCCTTTTGTTTTCAGAACTGTTCAGACCTATGGGTTCTCTTTGTCTTTTATAGCAAGAGAAACATAACAGGGAAAAAAAACGTATTTTATCTTCATCAAAAATTATTGGGGTCTCTGCAAGGAAAATCCCATCTTTTAATAACTGACAATTAACACCTCTATATGTCCTTCTTACTAAATCACTACCCTGAAACACCGAAGGGTGTTGTTTCACACTCCCGCCCGTTGTGTTGTTTGGTATTTTGTGAAGGCTTTGGAGCTGGAAGGCAGTTTATTCATATTTACTAATAATAGTCCCTGTGAGGAGGGAGGACTCTGCAAGGGAGGAATGCGAGAGCAGAGAACGATCCTCATTAGGATGCTATGTGAAGGGTGTCAGCCTACTGAGATCCCAGCTGTGCTCCAAGCTCCACGCTTCTCATGAGCGAGAGAGCAAGTTGGGGTGTGTGCCTAGTGGCACTTCTGTGCAGAAAATGGAGGCAATAGCGTTTCTGTGTCTCAGAGGCCATTCTAGCCCCCATCTCTCTTCAGTTCATTTCCTGCTGATGACTTCAGTGCCAGAGCTTCCTTGAGAGAGAAAAGTCACATCTCTGTACCCAGCTGCTGTACAAACATGTAATCAGCATGGCCATGTTGTCCTTGCATTTGCACAGGAATGAAATGGGGAATCCTAGTACCCAAGATTAACAGCCTGAATCTCCTCTGTGTGTATGGAATCCTGCTCTCCCATTAGCTTATATATCCATCCATTTTTAATACATAGAAAAAGGCTTATAGATAATCTAGAAGGGAAAGAAAAAAGCTATGTATCACCATTATATTAAGGGGAAGAAAAACCCCAAAACCAGCCTGCAGAGGCAGAATCTCATTCCCCACTGCCGAACTGATACATACTTTACGGATCTGAAAACTGGTGGGCAGAATTCCCGTTGGCTGCTGGACCATATAAACGATTGGTTAAGCGTCTGCTTGTAGATGGAGCACTGCTGTACAGTCAACATCATGATCTAGGAGGAACTCCAGATCAATGAAAAACCCAGGGGAAGAGGAGGATGAAGAGGAACAGTGCTGCTGGCAGAAGTAGTGGGTTTCCTTTGGACAGAAATGGTGCTGAAAAAGCAGGTGTTCCCCTTTCTTGATGTATATGATTTACAGTATTGTGAATCTCTCTCTTATTGAAGAGACTGAATAGACTGAATAGAATGCAGAGACAGAATTTGTATTGCTGGTATTTTCTGGAGGGAAATGCTAGCAGTGGCAACAGATGCTTCTGAATGTATTTGGATTTAAGCAAATTAAAGGGGAGAGGGTTCCATGGAGGCAGAGGACAGTCCAGAGATGCACTACACTGCATAGAAATCAAAGCAGCTTTGTTAAACTGTGATATACAATGCAAATATAGTTGCTGGGCCACACCACAGCAGAGAATGTGCTCTCTGTTTTAGAGCTATCCTGCTCTGGTGCTTGGTGTGGGAGACGTATGTGATGTATCCCTTTCGGCCCAAATAAGAAAGCAGTAAATTTCTAAGGTCCTTGAGCCAGGTCCTGCATGGTGGCTCAGACTAAGTATATTGTTCTGATGGCAGAAAGAAGGTAAAAAAGCTGTCAAGCTTCTTAGCAGCTGGTAATGGCCATACAGATGACACTTTTGGTTTCCTTTAATCCAGCCTGTTGTCCCCCCCATTGGCATAGGAGATAGGATCTGGGGTGGAGGGAGTGTACAGCGCTTGGACCATTTCAGCTGTTGGAAAGACTTCCATGAGCTATGACCAGTCTGGGGTTTCTGCCACAGGGCTGGCCTCAAATCAGCAAGCACCGGTGGAGGCTAAGAATAAAATCTGAGCATTCTTTCTTTTCCTTCCTTCCTGCCTTCTTCTGACTTGCACAAATAAATGGATCTTCGTAGTTTAGATCCAACAGTGCCTACAACCTAAGTGCAGTATCTCACCCTTGCAGTTCATTTAAGTGCATTCCTTTTTTAGTTAAGATGAATATAAATAATCAACAGGTAAAGTGAGAATGCCAAGCTTTTGGTAGGGTTGGAGGCAATCTGCTTGAAACTGTCAGATATAGATGTTATCAATGTTGGTTTTGTTTGTAGAACCCTAGAAAATGTCTAGTGGAGTGCACACAATTTTAGGAATTTTTTTACAATGTAATTGTGGAATATGTGTGATTGTGCTTTTTTTTGTCATTCTTTACAGTGAAGTAGTCCACAGACCCGCAGTGGGCTGTAGACTTTAACTTGAAAGTCATTAAAGAATTTTTCTTCCTACTTTTACTAAGCTAAGTGGACTTTTTAAAAAAGTGGATGTAAATGCACCTTTGTAACCTTAACTGTAAGCTGAAGATGTTTTTAAGGCATATTCTGGCTGTGGCAAAATTCTCACTGACTAATTGGGAGTGTTGCCTGGGCTTTAGGAGTGCAGTCAGGGGCACCTGATGTGAATCAGTCTTGCTCATTGTAAACCAGCTAACGGGGAAGCTGCTTTTCTGTCTGCTTCCTGCTTGCAGTTTAAACACGTGTGTTTACTTGGAAGGCATTCCCTCTGTATTATCAGGTTGTCTCTTGGGCAGTTCTGGTTCTTGACTATTGGAAGAATTTCTTGCCTAGGAAGAAAACTTGAGTAGATTAGCTGTAGATAACATGAAACTTGCTTTTCTCTTCAGCAGGCTCCTGTTACGGCCCGTAAACAGAGGTATTGTTTGAGCTCTAAATTCACATCTTGCCAAGGGGAAAATATATTAATGAAATTGCAAAATCAAAGATAATTTTCATTAACCTCCATGCCCCACAACTGCATGTAATACTAAAAAGTCCAGTCAGTGAAGTGAATTAGTCTAAAAGCACTTAGCTCTACACTGTATGGAAACCCCAGTGTTCAGACTTACATTGTATGATATTCTCAGCCAGTTCACCATTCTTACCTGTCCTGTATCTTGCAGAAAGATCAGGAGAATCCTACAGATGAGCTGTGGTTTAAGAATATCAAAATGAAAATTCTGTGATGCAGGAGAATGAAACTCAAATGATGCGATGGAAGAGTTGCTTAGATACTACAGTGATGACAGTGGCACAGGACCTTATATAGAAGTAGAAATGAAATAGAAATAGAAATGGTTTTCCTGCAGTCATTCTGCTACACAGAATTCCTACCAGTGTGAACATGAATTTTGCATACCAGTCAGCAATGAGATAGCACCTTACAGTTTTAGAAACTATATGAGGGGAAATGAAAGAGAAATTCGGGTTGGCTTGTGTAAAATTTTCAAAGCCGGAGGGATCTAGGAAGATGCCTGATGGTTCATTGATTTGGTTGAATGTGGCTGAACAAATAAGGTCAATTAAATTTCAGAACAAGGTGACTGGGTTTGGTTGCCAGGTGTTTCTTTGTCCAGTGTCAAAAAACAGATGGGGGAAGTTGGTTGACCCTCTTCAGTGTTTCTCACTCTTCCTGGGCTGTTTGTTAGAGTCATCTCCTAACTGGTACGTCTGGTCTTAGAGAAACAGCCTAAGTAATGGCAGGGCCCTCGGTTTCCTTAGGTGAATGGTTGAACAGGCTGCAGCATTGCAAAATGCAGTTTTACTTGATATCCTTGCTACATTTTTCACTTCTCGGTTTCATGCAGCTGCTCCTCACTATGCATTTCTGGGCCACGCAGAACAACTCCTTTCCATGCTCGGTGGTTATTTGCTTTAAATAAAGGCTTTGCAGACCTAGATAGAGACAGGGAACTGAAAAGCAGCACTTAAGTCCTTGAATCTCGTCTTTTGTTAGCGCACTCTCTTTTGGCTTCATTATTATCATTATTACCGTGGCAATTATCATTGTTAGAGTTCTTCTGTAGCACGGTGGTACCTTGGTGCCTCAGCCCTGGGTGATGGAGCACCTGGTACGAGGCACAGAACAAAAAAGTCAGCCTGCCTCAAGTGGCAGATAGCCTGTGGTAATTCTGTCTTTATTGTTTATGTATCTTACATGGATGTGTCTTGAAATCTTACCTTAATGCATTTCTTAAAGCAAAAATATTGTTATATTAGTCATTCTTAACATGTACCAAATAGATACTTTCCCTTCTCTTTAATTTCTTCCTTGTCTTTAGGAATTGCAGTTGTTTGTGTTTCACGGCTGTTAAGCTACATGTATCCCACTCCACGTGCCTTGATCTCCATTTCTTTGCATCTTCTTTGGTTAGATATGCCTTTGCAAAGAAGGTATAAAATGTTACTATTCTAACTTTTGCTGATATGGTAAGGGCCTGAAGGTTGTGAAAGATGTCAGATAGTAAATAATTGGGACCTGCTCCTTTTCAGTCCTGTTCATGAGATTAAATACCTGATTCATTTGAAAATTTGAACATAATAATGACCATGTATTTCTTTTCTTCAGAAACAGAAACAAAAAAATCAAGGAGAATAGAAACAGGGCAATCAAGGAGAACAACAACAGATGCTATTCTGGTCTTTGTCCTGCTAACTGGAATCATTGTGACTGTTGGTGCCATCTTTGCCATGATCCTTATGATTCTTCACTGGTAGGTGGACAGCACACAATGTGATTTATGTTTTATTTGATCAAAATACGGTATTACTGATGACAAACATGACCTATTAAACATGAGCTATTTAAGTTTCTCTGTAGTTTAACATTTGTGTTGCCAGTAGAGAAAACAGGAGCAAGCTTCTGGAGATTGGAAAGAAGTACTTTGCAGAGCAGTTACAGCGATTGTGGATGGGAGGGGAATGATTCAGAGCAATTTATGTAAACGTACTTAAAGGTATGTTTTTGTTTGATTCTTTTTTCCATTTCAGGGCTGTTGTAAAATCTATTTGGGAATCAAAATCTGGGCAAGACAACCAAGACAAGAAGCTGGCCAACAAAAGTTCACTGCGTAACATGGAATAAATAGTCCCCCCTCAGGGCCCGCGTTGACCTTTCAAGGAATTGGAGTCTCCACCTGCAGCTACAGTGTTCTCACCATGTGCATTAGCCATACTACAAGAAGTGGCAGAGCCCTCACTCACAGAGGATGAAGTATAGAAGTCCTTCCAGGACTTGCATAATGAACAGAATTAGAAAAAAAAAATTAGAAAAAATTAGAAAATTAGAAAAAAAAAGATTACATAGAAATACGATATAAAGAAGATTAAAATATGTTTGAAATACTGGTTTTAAGAAGTACTTTTTACAGTCCCTTCCCTCTCTTCGATTACTGAACTTTAAGTGAAATGGGTAAAAATACTTCTATTTTAAAGTGGACATGTGTACCTGTGTAAGCCTGTCACATATAAAACATCCTATGGCAAGGAGATCCACAGCACAACCACATCTTCTGTCCAGCTTGAACCCACTTCCTACTAGCTTCATTTGTTACACCGTACTTCTTGAAAAGGCAGTGAGCTGTCAATCCACACTATCCTCTCCCTAAAAGGGACTGTCTTTTGGACCTCTAACATATTCCCTGGTTATTTTCTTTCTGGACTGAAAAGTGCAAGATTACTTAGTGATTCTTCATCCTGAAACCGTACCATACCTCTGACCATCCTTGCTGACCTTCTCTAACCCTCCTCCATTACGTGACTATCTTGCTTATGAAGGTGCTTTCTGTTTGTGTAAATAAACATTGTTTGATGCAAATAAAAACACTGAGCTGATGACATGTTGAAAAATGGACTGTGGACTGATTAAAATGTTTAATAGACTTTATGATTAAGATTTTCTCTTGAGTATAGTAGAAGCTCTGAAAAGAGGCCAAATATTGAGCACTCCAGGGTAGAGGATGCTTCTCAGTAAAGAACATTGTGAAAAAATTGCAAAAAAATAGATTGGAGGTAGTAACTCATCCTCTCAAAGAATTCCTGTTCTCTTCAGATCCTCTGTTGCTGCAGATGTTCTCACTGCACCATCTGCACATCCTTAAAAAAGCATTATCATATTTTTCAGAGATACATCATTTTGTTTGCTGTTTAGTGAAAAGATCATTTACATTTTTGCAAATAAAACATCATATTCAAAAATGACGTGCACTTAATTCTATAATGGAGGTATTTAAAAGACGTGTAGATGAGGCGCTTAGGGCCATGGTTTAGTGGGCATGGTGGTGGTGGGGTGACAGTTGGACTCGATGATCTTAGAGGTCTTTTCCAACCTTAATGATTCCATGATTCTATGATCATTCCCCAGGTAGTTTAATAGTCTGAGCACCTCTGAACTGGAGAACCAAAGCCAGATTTTTGTGAGGATGTTGAAAATGATATATTTAACATGTCTTAATTTTGTGAAGATGTTACTCTAGACTAGATGAAACTAGACATATAGTCTAGGCAGAGACCATTTTTTGTGAAGTGCTCTTTATCTCCTTGATGATCTTCAAGCACAGCACCTACTATGTAATCACTGTATTCCAGTTTCTTCTTGACACATGGAAGGATGTATAATGGTAGGGAAGATCATTAAAAGTTGCTTCATAAGTTTCATTAAATTTTTACTTGCACATTTGCACACGTAACCAATTCTGCCATCAAGGGGACCAAAATATGTGAACAGAAGAGTAGCCCCATAGGGTCAGACCAAGGATTCATCTACCTTTGTAATCAAATCAATGGACAAAAAAAGGATGTCTAGGGAAGAGTACAAAAACAAGACAAGGCTGTATGATGTTTTCCACGTGTATTCCTCCAGCTTCCAGGCATTTGCAGGTTTTCTAAACCAGATGCCATTTCTAAGCACTTAGCTAACTTGAATGGATTTCTTTTCCTTGGCTTTGCTCAGCATCCCTGTGTACCTGTGTAAGCTTCTGTCACATAAAACATCGTATGGCAAGGAGATCCACAGCACAACCACATCTTCTGTCCAGCTTGAACCCACTTCCTACTAGCTTCATTTGTTACACCGTACTTCTTGAAAAGGCAGTGAGCTGTCAATCCACACTATCCTCTCCCTAAAAGGGACTGTCTTTTGGACCTCTAACATATTCCCTGGTTATTTTCTTTCTGGACTGAAAAGTGCAAGATTACTTAGTGATTCTTCATCCTGAAACCGTACCATACCTCTGACCATCCTTGCTGACCTTCTCTAACCCTCCTCCATTACGTGACTATCTTGCTTATGAAGGTGCTTTCTGTTTGTGTAAATAAACATTGTTTGATGCAAATAAAAACACTGAGCTGATGACATGTTGAAAAATGGACTGTGGACTGATTAAAATGTTTAATAGACTTTATGATTAAGATTTTCTCTTGAGTATAGTAGAAGCTCTGAAAAGAGGCCAAATATTGAGCACTCCAGGGTAGAGGATGCTTCTCAGTAAAGAACATTGTGAAAAAATTGCAAAAAAATAGATTGGAGGTAGTAACTCATCCTCTCAAAGAATTCCTGTTCTCTTCAGATCCTCTGTTGCTGCAGATGTTCTCACTGCACCATCTGCACATCCTTAAAAAAGCATTATCATATTTTTCAGAGATACATCATTTTGTTTGCTGTTTAGTGAAAAGATCATTTACATTTTTGCAAATAAAACATCATATTCAAAAATGACGTGCACTTAATTCTATAAAAATATCTTTTTTAAAAAGGAAATAATATTTTTGGTAACACTATCATTAGCTATGTCATTTTATATCATTTGGCGGACAAACCTAAAAGTCTTGCAACATTAAGAAGAAAATGCATAGAAAAGGAAAAAGCAGATAATAACAATTTTGCAGTTCTCAAAACTAGCTTACACGTTCAAGGTGAGTTTTTGATCCCACGCAATCAAAGACAGTGTATTGTGGTGAGTCTGGGATTAGGTCTGGAATGCTGGTCTTAAAAATAGACCAAAACCAGTTGTTATTACTCGGGAAAATGTTTCCACTGAAAGTATGGTAATTATGAAGCCCTGCCATCAGCTCTGCGGTTGACTTTTGAACTCTTGCTTTCATGTTGTAATTAGGGTGTAGCATAACTGAAAGAGAAAGAGAGGGAACTAGAATATTCTTTTCCACAATGATGCAAAGGTGTACTATTATACAACCATTTTGTATCTTAATAACATTTGCAAAGAACCTCTTATTTAGGTTGGTATTTTGAACCAGTCTTATTTGGGTTGATATTTTGAGGGGTTTACATTTCCATGGTCTGCTGGCAAATCCAGCAAAAAGTAATAGACACATAAGCAGAGCAGTTCAGAAAATGAAATTCAGAAACAGCTGAACTAATCCATACTGGTGAGTGTGGGGGTCCTCAGGGTAGGTCAAGGAGGTTTTGTTCTTTATTGGCTAATATTTTGTAAAATATTATTATTTTCTTTTTTTTCCTCTTATAACTCCTTAAAGCTACCTACAAAATAGAAAAAAAAATCTCTAGAAAATTTGATGCAAAAACTGTAGCATAAAATATGGAAGAGTGCCTTGCTGCTCAACAGATAGGGTAAACAGGCTGTTCTGTTGTTGAAGCCGCAGTCAGAAACTCCAAGTGAGGAAATTCCTGAAGTTAAGGTTACTCTGTCCAAGCAGCCATCACACAACCACTCTATTATCATTCTCTCACCCTAAATATAAACTTGAATGAATTGCTCTTTGTACTAGATGTAGTATAAAACACATAGGAAGTGCAAAATGATTATCTTAGCACAACCCATAGAAACCTTCCCTGACTTTTGATCCCATAATTTGGATAATATACTTGTTAGTTTGGTAACAGGGTGGACAGCCATGAGAGATAAAGGACATCCAGAAATAAGTGTTTTAACTTACGTACTTTTAAAGAGATAACACGTTACAATCTGCTTGAACACTTCTGGCAAGAAGTATTCACCACCTAGGATATGTAACTGTACTTCATGTAACTCCTTTTATCTGCAGTGCCTGAGAAATGCAAAGAATGTTTTCATTGTTACTTTCTGGTAGTGGGTTAATTAAGAGAACCAACAAGAGTTTCTCCTTTTCCACAGATTTAAGTACCCTATTTCTATCTCCTTCTGCTTGCTGACTGCAATGGAAACATTATCTTTACTGATCACCCCAAGGTACGAAAGTATGCTTATTCTCAGACCTTAGGCATGTGCCCAACTTCTGTTTAAGCCAGTGGTATTTAAGCTCCTGAAGTGAGAATCTGCTGCATTTCTAAGGGGAGAAGCAAAGAAGAACTAGAAGGAGAAGCGACAAAGGTCACATAAAAGTATCTTCATGATCTCGGGAGTTTGTGCTGCCTACAAGAGCTTTTGGCCAATGCAAATTAGGCAGCCTCCCTAGTCCTCTCTATAAAGTGTGATCTGTACAGAAATCCCAGCTCGTAGCTTTGCCCTCATTCAGATGCCCTCCTACACCACACCTTGGAGGGCCATCAAGCTCAGTTCATCTGCCAGGAGACCTTTTCACCTGCCTTTGCTGTACAGAGGACTTCCAGTATCTCCTCCCACTACTCCAGCTGCTGGATCCAGGATCCAGGGGCCAGAGCGAAGGTGAAAATCTCATCATGCTTAAATTTAAGCTTGTACTTACATTCTTTCCTGAACTAAGATGTCCTCATACATGTGTTTAAGCAATTTCCTGAATCAGGGCCAAAATGACTGTGTCATCCCTTGCTTCCATTTGCTTTGCATTGTCTAATATTGCAAGCATAATCTTGTGGGTTTTGTTTTAATTTAATAGTATTTTAAACACTTCCCTGGTATTCTTTCATCTTCCCTTTCTTATCCTTCTTAAAGAAAAATCTTTTTGGAATGCATAACTTGTCTGTGTATGATCCACCATCTGTCTCAGGAAATTTAAGATGCATTTATATAGTTACTTAGGTCTTGGTGTATGTGCAGTTTCATTTATGTATGGTCTAATAGTATATACCATAGAAATGAATTTTTTTTCTTTGGCAGCTTTACTGGCTCTTTTTGGAAATTAAATTTTTATGGTGAATTGCAGAGATTT